GATCATGCCAAGCTCACGTCAGCCCGGTATGATGCTCCCATCGGTGATCAGTAGGAGCAGGGAGCAGTCTCCTACTTTGGGGGACTCGTCGGCCTCTGAGGACACGCAGCAGCATCGTCGAGAGAGTGTTCATGGTAAAATTAATGTCTGAAAAATAACAGATAAAATTTGTGGTATTTTCTTCAGAGTATTCGCCGTATCATCATTTCACCATCAGGGGCTCTAAAGGGTTGACGCGAAAGCTCACGCTAGGGGTGTGCTGCATGCAGAACAAGGCTACTAGTAACCCCATGCAGTCCTTGTTGAGGAGACTAGATGCTAGTGGTAGTATCTAGGGGGAGGGGGGTAGTTGGAATATTCATAGTAGAGTTCAGTGTTAGAATATGTGTTTGGTTTATGCAGCTGAGCTCAGAGGAGTCCACTCAATTGTATACGAATTCGAGTATAAGTGTAGAGAAAGCCATGGGAAATCTTATGAATTTCATGTTGTCACCAACACATGCAGTTGACCATGTGCATATGTCTAGTTCTCTGTGGTGATCTCAACGTGGTCGTTAGATAGTCTAGTTTTGCAACTAGGGGCTACTATGATAATCTAAATATGTATAATATCACTGTTGATGAACTCAGAAGCCTGTCTGTTTGCATACAATAATATTTAATACAGTGGAGTTTCACCCTAGTGATATGAAAAACAAACTTTATACGACTACTGCATATCACCGCGAATATCGCGTTTTCACCGAGTTTTACGCCACTTCACGTGAAACGGGTGAAACTCCAGTAATATGATAATAACCATATAGATATACACCAGATATATTACTTCTAACATATATGAACACTGTAGGTGCCTTCAACATCATCATTTTCGATGAGAAAATGATCCTGGAACAGGACGTATCCGAATGGCCGATAGTCCAGTGTTACGTGTCTTTCCATTCAAAGGGCTTTCCACTTTACAAGAGTTTGGAATACGTCAAAATGCGCCATCCAGTGGAGATTAATAAGGTAGGGCATGTGAAAGGGAATATATGTATATGCTTTCCTAATCTACAGTGTGAGAATTTGTACACTCCTCGAGGTTGATCTAGTCTTCAAATCTGCATAGGAATTTATTGAAGTTTTCTTAGTGTATAACACTAGGCGTGAAATCTCTCACTGACTTTCTGGGAGGGGGGTAGCTATGGGCAGTAGTTCATCGAGTTTGCCAACAATACTACCGTTGCGTTTCATTGACTATGTGTAGGTAGAAGACCAGCTGAAACTACGGAATAGGCT